TAGAACATTACATTTATTAGGACATCTCCTGTACTGTACCTCTGCATGCGTGCACACACGCGTACTAATATTGATAAACAGAACATCATGTGACATAGTGGAAAAAGAATAATGCTGCTTTATTGACACCTTCTGTGATATAATCAATCGGATATATTACTTGTTCTCACTACCACTCCCCATCAGTGGATATTAAGGCTTCTCCATTTAGCCTCTAGACAATTTTATTATACATAATCAGATTTTCAGTGAGGCTTGACAGTCTGCTGGAGATTAAGCACAAGTGTAATGGCTTCTACCAAGCTTTAAAAGCTCATTAAACTAATCCTGTTAATTTGACCTGTGTTCAAAAAAAGAGGTCCGCATTGTTCTAACTGAATGGAAAGGTTGTTTACGAGAGTTGCTGGTGGATTTGACACGGTCAGTGTTTGAAGTTAGTGGCCTTCTTAAATCCCTCACACTGCATTAAGACTGTAGTGTGTGGACTGATGCTGCCCTAATGCTTTTAGAAGCAGACGCCGGATGCAGAAGGATGTGGCTGTGCTTCCTGGTACTGTTTCAGAAGCTTTATTCCAGAGAGGCGAGGGTTGAGACTCCACTTAGATGTTATTGGATGCCTGTTCTTCTTGTGTCCTCAAGTACATACTATTCTGTTAGTGTAGCAATATTTAGTTTTTGATCCGCTGCCTGAAAAAGTGTTAGGACTATATTATTAGTCTATAATGATAGATATATCTAGATCAGGGGTTTTCAAACCTAAAAGCCCCCCCAGCACTGCACATTTTGCACTGTCTCCCTTAGTAGACCCAATTCAAGTCTTGCAGTCTGTATTAATGAGCTAATGAGTTGAATCAGGTGTGTTAGACGAAGGAGACATACAAAATGTGCAGGGCAGGTTTGAAAACCCCTGATCGAACCCCCTTCATTTTTTTTATTGTTAGCAAACCTTCTTTAATCTATTTTAGGACAGTAACCCTGTCTGTACCAGGGTTAGCATTCATTAAATGCTTTTAAATTCCAATCCAGTTTCTGAGTTTGAACTGAATTTGAATTGAGGTAGCAATTGCAATTAGACTTTTATGGGAAATAGAATTAAGTCATGTCACCATTATTTATATAGCGCTTTATACAATAGAGATGGTTTCAATAACAAAGAAGTAACAGTCAATTAAAATAAAATGAATTGAAATTTAAATTCAGTTCATTTCATATTACAGTAATGAATCAAATAGAAGAGCAAAGTGTATCAAAAAGCTCTCTCGTGAATGGCAGCGGAGACTGACGTGGAAGAGAAGAATTGAATAAAGTCGTTATTTTTGTTTTTCTTTGCACAAAAAAAAGTATTTTCATAGCTTCAATTACGGTTGAACCACTGAGGTCACATGGACTATTTTAACAATGTCCTTTCTACCTTTCTGGGCTTTGAAAGTGGTAGTTCCGTTGCTGTCTATGCGGGGTCAGAAAGCTCTCGGATTTCATCAAAAATATAATAGTTTGTGTTCTGAAGATGAACTTGCAGGTTTTGGAACGACATGAGTGTGGGTAATTAATGACAGAATTTGCATTTTTTTGGTGAACTATCCCTTTAAAAAACCTTTAAGTTTGATAGATAGATAGATAGATAGATAGATAGATACATTTCATCATATTTATTAAATTAACTTTTTTTTTGACCAGGGTGAAAGAGCACTACATTTCCCAGAATGCATTACCTGTGTTGCAATTCAGTAAATTTATTTTCCCATCATTCCATTTCAGATTTTTGTATGGCCAATGCAAACTCATGAATTGCCAGGATATTAATTATTCAGTTCTACATTTTGCAACAACCCCTTTCTGTACAGAACTAAAACTTGAATCATGTCTAGTGTACTTTTTTCACCTCTTAACCTCAATTTTGGGATTAATAGAGTATAAAATATTCAGTATATCATTGCACAAAAGTTCGGAATTTCTTTGTAGCAATACATACAGGGAATGATTTCTTAGCATCTTGCAGTATAAACGTTTATGAAGAGCAGCTAATATAAGGAGAGAGATGGAAAGTGAGGGTAGCTCTGAACAGCACTTACCCACATACACCCACATCCCATCATCCAAACAAAGCACTCCACTCACACATCATCTGCAAATGCAAAGGCTCCTCAGTGTGTGGGCTGAGCAAATGGCACCAAGTCACGGTCACACACCAAGCCAAATGCTGTTAAAGCCTTTAAAGTAACACTAGTCAAACAGGCTGTGGGAGGACTGAAATCTTTTACTATGATCCCTGTCTCTGCCTTTAAAATGCCCAGTGTCCCCTGACCCCTTTAATTGTGAGGTATAAGGCTGTGTCCACAAGTTCACAAGACACTTTGCTTTATTTCGCCCACTGGACTATCAAAGCGTTTTTTTTTTAATCTACTGTAGGGGTGAGGTAGTATCACTAAAGGGGGGAATGAAAACATGGTTGTACTGGCTTCCATTGAAAGGGTTTTTCCTTCCATTCTTATCACATCGCAGATGCAGAAGATCTCTCTCCTCCGCATGACCCCACCACCCCCTCCTGATTAAATGGACACAGATAAATAGATCTACTAGATGGAGTGAATATTGCACTGTGCTGAATGAATAATGTATGTACGTGACTGACATTGCGGGTCTGATTTGTTTTAGATTGAGACAGAACTCCGCAAATTCACTCATAATACCTATTGAAGGATTCGGACCCCTGCGATACTATGGAAGAGATGCATGGATGCATCCTGTGGTGTTAAAGGAATAGTTTACACAAAAATTAATATTTGCTGAAGTTTTAGGCCATTTAGGATGTAGATGGGTTTGTTTGTTCACCCCAACAGATCTGGAGAAATGTAGCATTACATCACTTGCTCACCATTGCATCCTATGTGATGAATGGGTGCCGTCAGAATGAGAGTTCATACAGCTAATAAAAACATCACAATAATCCACAACATGACTCCAATAAATTAACATATTGTGAAGTGAAGAGCTGAGTGTTTGTTAGAATCCATCATTAAGCATTTTGACTTTAAAATCTAACTTTAAAATACCAGTCCGTAATCCATAATAATGCTTCCTTCAGTGAAAAAGTCCATCCCGTTTTTCTCTCACATGAAAATCCACCAACATATTTATTTAGAACTGTTTAGGACTATTTTCGCTTGTAAATGATGCTTTATCTGTGCATATTTCTCTCCTGATTCAGACCAGATGACTTATTCACAGAAGAAAACAATATTATGAATTGTATTTTAGCTGGAAGCAATGGTTTGAAGTTAAACATGTCTTAAGGATGGATTTGTTTATTACAAACACAACTTTTCACTTCACAACATGTAATTGGACTGGAAATTATTGTTATGATTTTATCAGCTGTTTGGACTCTCATTCTGACCACACCCATTCACTGGTGAGCAAGTGATGTAATGCTAAATTTCTCCAAATCTGTTCCTATTAAGAAATAAACTCATCTACATCCTGGATGGCCTGAGGGTGGGCAAATTCTCAGCTAATTAAAATTTTTGGGTGAAATATTTCAGCATGCAGTAAACACTAGTGAGTGTAAAATGCTATGAAATGTACTTTTATCATACACAATGATTAACTTACCTTGTGTCATAGATTGCAAACAGCTTTTTATTCCCATCCACAGCATTCCTGCAAAACAGAGGGAGGTGATGTTACTATTCCCATCATTCAATGCCCTGTTACTAATTTTAGAATGAACGCATTCTGTAAACAATTGTGATGTTTCTGATTGTGTCTAGTAAAAATTAATCCCAAAAAGCATTACCAAATACATCACTTTTAATATGTCTTGAGTTCAAATTGTGTCGTTTTGTTCATCTTTGTTATTAAAGATCTGTTTAATATGCACACATAAAACATACACAACTAGATCAGAATTATCATATGCTCGCAGGACACAGGTGGACTGTAGAAGTAACAGCTGCTCTCGTGTGAATATCTCTGGAGTGCACATCAATGGAGTCAATCAGCAGTCAGACAAAAGTGCTTAAAAAATGAATCAATGCCCAAAACACATGACTACAATATCATATTATACATACACAACAAAACTGTCTGCACAATCTTCATGAACCTAGAAATAATCTCATCCTAACGGATGTGTTTTTTCTCAATAGCACTGTGACCATTAAAGCCAACCCAAAGCAGATGTTTAATTTACTCGCTTGAATCATAGACATTCTTCGGTTCTCTTGCTGTAACATCTTCAATGCATTACTTTATTCTAAATACCCATAGTGAGTGTATTTGACTGGAATTCTTTAATACACATGCTTGTTTTATATTTGAAGTTATAATATTTATACTTTTGAATTAGGATTTTGCATAATCACAACAATAGTGCTGTGCCACATTTTTTTTCATATATTTGTTGTGATGTGTATAACATTTAAGACATTTCCCAGACGTCCTGTCAGCCCAAATCAGCATAAAGGGTGTCATTTATAAAAGAAACTAATTCAGTAAGTTCTTTTCACTTATGCACAACATGAAATTGGAGCAGGTAGAGCTTTTTGAGGGTTTCATTTATCGACTGATGCACTGCAGTGATAGTCAGCATCAGAAAAAATGGGTTTAGAGTTCCCCCTGATGGCTGTCCTCATTACTACTGGTGCCTATTCAGTTTCTTATTAAACAATAATCAACTCTACTATCGTAAACCATTTTTTTTGTATCTAGTCCTGCCAAATCAATATTATGTATCTTAGACTGATACCTTGATTACTTTATATAGCTAGGCTTCATACATATTTTAATTTATACTCAGGACTATTGTCTAATTTACAACCCGTTTTAATTGAGTAAAACTGATACTTTTAAACCATAAATATCCCCAGTGGAGATTTAATAGTCCGCATGTAGAGGAAGCCAGTCTTCATTAAACAGCCTGGCGCAGGGGGGGCTGCCTAAGGGTAAACGCTAGTGCGCAAAATGTCTAGTAAGCAGAATTGTTGGGAAATCCACTCATTTTCTAGCGTCCACGCTTGTAACGCACGCCGGTGCCGGGGTAATCGCGCTTTTCTCTGAATAAGCTCAAACAAGATAAGTTTCAAACCCCAAACGGCCGCTCAAATTTCCCTCGAGGGGTAATTATGCAGCGCGCGCAGAGGTGACGTCCTATTACTTTAGTCCCAAACACTAACAAATGCCACTAGAGTGACAGTCGGGCTAGAGTGGGGGGAGCAACGGACGTCCAACCCGGCGACCCGGTAAGCGGAGAATCCTGTTAAACTCTGTAACGCTTTAACGGTTGCGCAGATAAGCGTTGAGATGTCGTACACTAGGCTACCACAGAGGGAAGAAGGGGGAAAAGTAATGGTCTGTTAAAAGGGATGTGTTGACTAGAGGGAGAATAGGGGAAGAGAGAAAACAGACTGTTTTAAGGGCTGTTGTGCTGTCTGGTTACTGTCTTTCAATTGGATTTAGGAGTGATGAAGAGGTCTTTGGGATGCGGGGGATAGGAAGGGATGCTCTGCAGCGGTTGTTCAGTCACTGAATCGTAAAAGAGGACGCAACAATGAGCCTGAATGGTTAAGACTGGATATTATCTGAGGAACAACGCATCACACTACTGCTGTAAACTGAACGTTGCGGGATTTTGCTCACTGCTTCAAAAGGAATTCATTGCAGTTGTTCAACGTGGATCCACTGCACCATTCAGGTATTTAAGGTAAGATACGAGGCTTTTACTGTACACTATCTCTGCTCAACTCTGCTTTGTAGGACTCACTATAAATGTTCGACAAGTTTATACGCCAGAGTTAAAACTATGAATTACAGCTGCTGCAAATTCGGCGCTCCTACAGCTTTTACAAACGATCATGTTGAAAGAAATTCAAGGTATACGCACAAAAAACATGAAACGGATTCATGACATTGGAATTGCGTAAAAATAAATAAATAATAATTTAAATAATAACTTGAATTAGAATCTGAAATTAGAAAATAAATAACATTATGCATAAAACAAAATAAAACAGCATGGTAATTGCATTAATAATAATAATAAAGTATTTGCTTAATACTTTTGGTTAAATACCCTGATGATCTTTGTTGTTTTAAGTTTACTGATCATCCCATTTTATGGATTTTGTATACACCTCAAACTCTCTCTTTTTTCCCCTCTTAATATGCTTTTTAAATTACAGTGTGCATAATAGAGTTTCATGAAGAATGGCCAGATTATCATAATGCTGGAATTAACTCCCTATCCTGGACTTTTGCAGATATGGGATATGGACCACATTGCAGCGCCAAAATGAGAAGTCTGTGGGTCGGTGTTTTGTTCATGACATTCACCTGCCATCTGAGGTAGATTACATCTTTAACGTAACTTTCTATTTTATGCTGACCTCATATTTTTATTGCAGGAGTCATTTAATGTAAGATAGGATATGTCTATAATGGATTCATATTGATTCAGATTTTCAGACCATTATATCACTGTGGTCATGTTTGAAGGGTGAATGGGAGCTAAATACTTGTAGTTATTAATTATCTTTGTGGTCTTGTGCATCAGCCTTTCCCAGTCTACTACAGGGATTCCTAAAGAGTCAGAGCTCAATGATAACATCACAGTATTCACACGAATCCTGGATGGATTGCTGGATGGCTACGATAACAGACTGCGACCTGGGCTTGGAGGTAAACTGCCTTTCCATCTTTAAACCATGATCTGCTGCAAAGTCGTGTTTTAGTGAGAGGTGTTTTTTCTTTGATATTAGTGGCATTTATGTCTGGCATTGACCTCTGGTAGTTATTCTGAAAAGATGTGTTCAGATAAAGGCAGATGGTTTTTGAAAAACAGAGAGAACGCCTGCACATTCCATTGTGACAGTGGCATGAAGGACTTTCATAAAAAGAAAAGAGAGAGAGATGCTGCTTCTATTCAGTTCACTAACTGGGAAAAACTACATAGAAAAGAAAAATTAAATGATACAGCAGATGTTTACACTGAGCAGATGTGATCTCTGAAATTGCCTGGTTCTCTGTGAAAATCAAACGGCCACTATTTCCCTGCACTCTCAATTGCAGTGTTCTTGCTAGAGACAGAGGTATATGGGGGGGGGGGGGGGGGGA